ATTAAAGTTTCATTTATTGTGGAAAACCCTTTCTTTTAATAATTATAATACTCGTCTTGTAAATAATGAAGATTATTGTAATCTTAAAATCAAATTATTTATAAGAAAATAATTTCAAAAAAATTGAATCCAAAGACGACTTTTTAGCACGAGTCAAATTTTCAAAAATTATTTTTAAAGTCTTTTAAAAGAAAACTTGAAATTTCCTTTGTAATTTTGAACTCTTCAAAATGTCAAAATTTTGCTGATTCAGAACCTTTTGGAGCCATTTTTAAAATTAAAACATCAAGTGTAGATGTGTTTTGTGGACTCACACAAAAATCATAATCTCTATAAATCATTAAACTTTTAAAACTCTTAATTAGTTACTATTTACCGAGGGTCTTTCATCAGATTTTTTAAAAAGCGAGAACCTTTTTCAGTTTGACCCGGCCATCATGTGGTTTAACTTAGTCGACCTAGTTCAACTTAGTCTCGCTCACTCTTGTATGCCGAGTCCATTAGCGCCTGATCCAATCAGGGTTCAGCCACGTGTTTGGTGTCTATTCTTAACCAATAGAAATTGCATGGCGGTAACGTCTATCTTTCTAATACTTGCTTATTATCCAATTACAGATAAATCCTTATATCGCACCCCGGACTAACCAGAGTGAGACCCGTTCGGTTTCTTCTATTTTAAGTCATATGCGTTTTGGTCTATATTTAATCAATCTTTAAACTTTTCATTCAAAAAGTATATGCCGGCAAAAAAGTTATGTTTAATAGGTCAAATTGTGATTAAAAGTCACAGCTCTCTGGAATATTGACAGAACCGTTAAATCCACGTGATCGGCGTTATAACAGTAAAAGGAAATATTTACTTCTACGGAAACTATAGTCTTATTCACTTTACTAGTCCCAGATTTAACACATTTACAACACCCTTAACATTTGTAGAAAGACTAATTTGAAATAAAGTTTTCAATTTTGACGAGGTCCCAAAAAAGTGTCTTGTTCTCACACTCTGTACCTCTAAATGTCCTAATTTAAGAAATTACAGCTTTACAGATGATAATCTCTAGTTGAGAGAGATAACATCTTTCAGATCTTTAAAAAGCGGTCTGAACACATAATTTCTAGTGACCCAACAATTATCTGTGCAACAGATTTCTTCATTATTTTAGCAACAGATTTCCTCATTATATGAGCAACTGATTTCCTAATTATCGTAGCAACTGATTTCCTCATTATCTTAGCAACAGATTTCCTCATTATTTGAGCAACAGATTTCCTCATTATCTATCAACAGATTTCCTCATTATCTTAGCAACAAATTTCCTCATTATCTGAGCAACAGATTTCCTCATTATGTATCAACAGATTTCCTCATTATCTTAGCAACAGATTTTCTCATTATCTATCAACAGATTTCCTCATTATCTTAGCAACAGATTTCCTCATTATCTGTGCAACAGATTTCCTCATTATCTTAGCAACAGATTTCCTCATTATCTATCAACAGATTTCCTCATTATCTTAGCAACAGATTTCCTCATTATCTGAGCAACAGATTTCCTTATTATCTGAGCAACTGATTTCCTTATTATCTGAGCAACTGATTTCCTTATTATGTGAGCAACTGATTTCCTTATTTTCTGAGCAACTGATTTCCTTATTATGTGAGCAACTGATTTCCTTATTATGTGAGCAACTGATTTCCTTATTATCTGAGCAACTGATTTCCTTATTATCTGAGCAACTGATTTCCTTATTATCTGAGCAACTGATTTCCTTATTATCTGAGCAACTGATTTCCTCATTATCTGAGCAACTGATTTCCTCATTATCTGAGCAACAGATTTCCTCATTTTCTGAGCAACAGATTTCGTCGTTCTTCGATCTTAAAGAGCGTTTGATTTCGTAAATTTACTTCGTTGTTTCGACTGAATGTAGGATATCGCCATAATTTTTGTAAAGGGTTCAGACACTCAATAGGACTAGCCGGTGCAACAAGGTTGACGCGGTCTAGGTTGAATTTACTTTAACTCTAGGGTCAGAGGTGCGTGGCCAACATAAAACTATGTACATGAAAACAGATTTTAAATTAGGGAAAAATATCCTCATTTATGTTAAACTGAAAATTCAATTGGCGGATCTCAACCTGTATTATGGTTGGAGAACCCATGAGAATAATAAACATCCACCATTAGAATAGAGAAACACAGTTTTTAAATGATGAAAGAGCATTGCATGATTCACTTTCAATACTTGTTTACGACATTTAATAATTTCAAGTATAAATGTCAGAACCATAGATAAAGATAGATTGCGCATAAGACGACATTTTTCATCTTGAAAGATATAAATGTACAGAGATGTTTTAAAGATATTCCTATTATATAGATTAACTAGGTCGGTTGTGAACATTGGCTGTTCTTATGTCATTGAGTACTTGTGGTGTACATGAGTTCTGTAGAGAGAAATTTAAGTTATTTAGTCCTTCTCATGTCCTTCTTCAGTTCTCGTCAATATGATATATTGCTCAGTGAAATATTGTTGTTCAAATAGTTCCATTCCCGGAGTTATTTTTCACTCTATTATGAAATTCATTAAAACACCAAACCACCCCGCT